AATGATGATCTGGAGCAAAAGAAAACCACGGTAAACCATATGGTTAGGAGACAGAGACAAGAAGACAGAAACAAGAAAGGGCAGTGTTGAATTCCAACTGGGGTGGAGGCCTAGCCTCCAGCTGCATTCCTGGCTTGCTTTGTGTTTTCTCATGTGCCTTGGGTTCTTGAAGTTGATTTGGCAAGGGGAGCCCCTTATCATCACCAAACTCGTAACAGACAAGTTGGATGCACATTTTCAGACATGAAGATGTTGGATGTGGGTCAGATTTTCCCCTTGAAGACACTTTCAGGTATTGATTCCTTGGGAAGTCTTACCCATTTCTGGCCATGTACTGGTTTTAAAGAAGGAAAAGTATTCATTCTTGCTTCTTACCTTACCACTGATCTCTGAACAAAAACATTTGTAAGTGAACCTGTAACACAAAGAATCGTTTTTGTAAAGAGAGACAGGAGATTCTTGGCTCCAAAAGTGAACATCCCTAAATCTGGATGGTGAGGTAAGGCTGTATTTTCAGCAGATCCTTAGGACTAAAAGGCTGAGAATTTGGCAGCGCTGTGATGCAGAACGTGGCTCGTGGTGCCAGTGACACAAAACCTTGTTGATAGTGACAGAAGTTACCTCCACAGGACTCCTTGGATCAGCCTTGGTCCAGACTTCTTGCTTTTCCAAGTTATGTGCATGGACACATTATAATGGGCACAATCAGAAGATAAACCTGTCATTGGATTAGTGTCGACACTCTGTGAGAACTTCAAGAATGAGAATGAAATCACATCGGTGGACATCTACCCTTCATGCCTTGCAGGCATGCTACTGTGTACCAGTAAATTGAGTTAAATGAAGAAGAGAAATTATTATGTACTCTTAAGCCTGTCCCTTGGCATGGTTTCCATTCTAGGGAATGAAACTCATCAGGTTTCCTTCTAACAGGCTTGAGGGCAAACCCAAGTGTTCATTTCCACAAGTTTTCATTGAAAGCCTACCGTACTCTCTCTGCTATGGGTTCTGTGAAAACATCCAACTAACTCCTGTGGGTATTCTGAAGCAAAGCCTGAACATTATAAGTAATTCTGCTATGTACAAGAAAGGGGGACAAGAATGAATTGGCAGAAACAATTAATAATCAATGATGAGCTGGTTCCCTTGTTCCCCTTTGTGTTTTGAGGGCACCAAATAAGGATTAGTTGAAATTGTTAAATTTGCTGTTATAGGCATTCAACAGAAACTAATAAAATAATCATTATTTATGATGGCAAAAATGTTGCCATGCATAATGTCCTACCTTGTACATTGGCCTTAACTTTAATATATGTAGTAAGTGATTTTCCTTGACAAATAGAGTAACCAATAAGGAATTAGGACAAATTGCTTGTTTTTTGGTTTTTTAAATTAACATTGACTAGTTAGGGGATAATTCACTGATCCTTGACTCTAATACCCAAATATGGAAAACAGTATCAGCTAAGTAGTGTCTACTGTTTACATCTTACTGTCATATAGAGCCTATATTTGCCTCCTCTACCTTGTTTTTTGACTTCATTGTCTTGTACAAGAAAGTATTTAAGGCATTTGTCACCATCCTTTGATATTACTGTAGTAGATAGTTAAACATGGTATTTGAAGGCAGCTCCAAAATTAAATTTGAGTTTAATTCTTGATAACGTTATTAAATGTGGATGTGGAAAGTTATCAGTGTGCTTAAATCTAAAATGTAAATAGAAGAATAAGGAAAAATGTACATGAGAAAGTATTTAAGGAGGAGAATTTGCTGCTTCCAGACCATTGGTTATGTATGTAAACAGTTGGGTTAGCCAATGCAGCCCTTAGGCAGCATGATGGCATTTGCACTTTGAAACACCTTTGGCAACAGTAATAATGAGGGTTTGCACACTGCCTTTCTGTGGTTTCTTGTTTGACTGATTTAGAAAAGAAGGGTCAGCTCCAGGAGCTGAAATGTAGCTCCTTATGAGGGCATTTTAGAGCTTCCCTGTTTAAGAGAGATTTGGTTTATTCTGAGTAACCGGGTACAGGAGAACTAGGACCCATGGGAGGAAATTATAGGGAACCACATTTGAACTTAATTAAAGATGTTTATAATGATCACCGGAGTTCAAAATTCTTCTTTCCCTCCCAAATCACCAGAAGTCATCCATGGAAGTGTGGCGGACTGCTGCCTGTCAGGAATGCTTTAGAGGGGCTTTCTGGGTGTTTGGTACTAGAGTACATGGCTTGGCTTTTGGGGGTTTCCTAGAGATTTCAGGCAGTTTCCTTGCACTTACTTAGGTAATACACATGAACTGGTGGGCCAGCAGGATTTGGTCACCTGCCCACAGTGACTCTGGCTCCCTAGCAGGTTAGCACCCTAGGTCTGATGAATAATTATAACTAATGGGAAACATAATTCTATAGTGTGTGGCATGCATATACACAGATTCCTGAACTCCGGGCGCAATATTGGGAAAATGGCTCCTGGACTCGGTGATTTTGAAGGTCCTCTGGGATTCTGCTTATGCAGGAGGCCGTCATGCCTCCCCATACGTTTCAGTCATGTCTGCCTCTTCCTGATTCTATTTAGGGTTTTCTTGGAAAAGATACTGAAGTGTTTTGCCATTTCCGTCTCCAACTCATTTTACAGATTAGGAAACTGAGGCAAACAGGGTTAAGTAACTTTCCCAGGTGTCTGAGGCCCGATTTGAACTCGGGGAGATGAGTTTTCCTGACTCCAGGCCCTTGCGCTCTGTGCACTGTGGCGCCACCTAGCTGTCAACCCATACATTGGATAACTTCTGTTCTACATTGGGTTCTGGATTAGGAACTTCTTTTGCTTTCTTTAAATGATTCCCCCAGATCCATCAGTTTATTTCCACCATTTGACTTTTTGTTTTTAGTACTTATTTAAAGGTGAGGAAAGTGACAGTAATTTCAGTTTCTTGAACTCAGATTTGTTTGCAAGCAGTCCAGGAAATCAGTGAAAACATTAAACCATTTATTTACCATTAACCCCTCCCCCATCTATATTTTTTGTTTAAAAAAAAAATACGCTCCCAAACTCTTGTGTTTGGACCTAAAAAAACTCTCCCCCCTCCCCCCAGGGAAGCCCTTCAATTAAAATTTGGATTGCAGTAAAATGTCCCCTGTTAATTTCTTTTTCAAAGTAGATCATGTTGGTAATTCTATTTGAATGGAATCATTGTTTTTGTACTAAATCTCATATTTAGTCTCTCCAAATAGTATGATTGCTTTTCATTATTAACTCACTGGATATGCCACAACACTTTCTTACCCAGCAGAAGGTGGAAATCTAGACCCAAATGTGAGATTATAGGCAGAAAAGCAGATGTGCCCAAGACAAACCCAAGACCCGAGGGTCACAGTGGAGAAGTTCTTGATGTGACTTTGGGAAATTCACTTAACCTTAATGGGCCAGGGTTTCTTGGGATCGTAGGATTTAGAGCTGAAAGGGACCTGAGAGAGGAAGTCAGCATCTTCATCTTACCGATGGGGAAACTGAGGCCCAGGGTGATTAGATCGGCCAATAAACAGCCAAGCCGGGACTCAATCCTCGTGAAAACGCCTAGCTCTCAAGGGGCCCTTCCTTCCCTAAATCATATGGAAGCAGAGCCTCGAAACGATCCTTATTCACCCCGCACTTCGCCGCAGAATTAAAGACTTTCTCATTCCTTAAAAGAATTAAAGAAGTCTTTCTCATTGCTTAAAAAAGGAAGAAAAGCCAGAGCCCACGGATGAGACCGCTTCTGATTCGAGCCTTGTTTTCTCCTTAGTCACTCCCAAGACCCGCTAATCATTCCCACCCGGGTCCCAGGAGGGAGAGTGGGGGGAGCTGAGCCGGCTCTGCGGGCCTCGGCGCCCCAGGCCTGGAAGGGGTTAAGCGCCGTTCGGTCCCCTCGGCTCCGCGCTTCTGCCCGGTGCCTGTGCACATACAAAGACACAATCTAACGTTTGGATTGCTCGCATGTGACCAGCAGACGCGCAGGCATGTATCGGGAGCTCGCGTTTGAATTTTCGCATTTCTTTCCCCCCTCCGGCGGTAACTCCCGGCGCCCCGACTGAGTTGTCGGGGCTTCCCCATTCACGCTTTTGACAGCTGGGACACCCGCTGGCCGGGCTCGGCTCGGCTCGGCTCGCCCAGACGGCCGCTCTGGGCGGCCCGAGAGCGACCCCCGGCCGCCGGGGCTTCCTCCTCCCCCACCCCCCCGGGACAGGCCGGGTTTAAAGGGCCGGGAGCGGCACGCGCGGGGGTGACCCCGCTGACGGCCGGCGGACGGGCGGGGGCGGGGGCAGAGGCAGAGGGATGGCCCCGCCGCGCCTCGCTTCCCTACTTCATCCTCCACTCCGGGGGCTTGACGTGCAAACTTCGCCCGAGCGGAGCGGGGCGGGGAGGGGAGGAGGAGGAGGAGGAGGAGGAGGTGGCGGCGGCGGGAGGCGCCTCTGCTTAAGGGAGCCGGCAGCGGGCGGGCGAGCGGCGCCGGCCGGCCGGCCCACCCGACCGACGGAAACCAGGGCCCGGGGCCCAGCCCGGGGATGAGCGCAGCGGCCGCCAGGCGAGCCATAGAGGGGAGAGCTGGGAGGGAGGCGGGCCGCGGGGTCGGGGCCGGCGCGGACGAGGCGGGGGCGGGGGCCGACGGGCTGCATCCGAGCCCGGCCGGCCGCGGAACGCGGGCCCGGCCGCAGAGGCGGGCAGCCCAGCCCCGGCGGCCCCTCTCGGGCAGGTTGATCTGAAACTGAAAGCAAACGCCGGGCGGGGGCGGGGGCGGGGGCGGGAGCGGGGGAGGGCCGCCCTTCCCGGACTTTGTGCCCCGCTCGCTCCCCCGCTCCCCGGTGCAGCCGCCGCCCCGGGGGCTCGAGAGGGGGCGGGCGAGCGGCCCTCGGGGGCAGCTGTCAGCGCGCCCCACCTGGCTGCCCCTACTCCGCAGCGCCTCCTTAAGAAGCCCCGCGACTCTTTCCCCCTTTTTTGTTACATTGTAGCAGCGGAAAGAATGTCGGAGAGGGCCGCGGATGACGTCAGAGGGGAGCCGCGCAGAGCGGCGGCGGCGGCGGCGGCGGCGGGAGGAGCAGCGGCGACCGCCAGGCAGCAGCAGCAGCAGCAGCAGCCCCAGCCGCGGCCGCCCCTCCAGCAGCAGCAGCAGCAGCAGCAGCAGCAGCCGCCGCGGCTCCGGCTGGCAGAGAGCGGAGGCGGCGGCGCCTCCACCTCCGCAGCCACAATGGCGACCGTCGGGGAGCGCAGGTCTCTGCCCAGTCCAGAGGCGATGGTCGGACAGCCGTGGAACCACTGGGTAGAAGCTGCGAAACTTCCTGGGAAGGACGGTGAGGATCCCCTCCTCCCCCACCCTCCTGCCTTCCGCCCTCCGGGCCCGGCCCGGCCCCTGCCCCCGGGGAAGGGTCGCCCCTATCGTGCCCGGGGCTGGGCACCGGCTCGCTGCTCGCACCCCTCCACTGACCGGCCGCTCTGGGCGCTGTGTTTTTCTCTCTCCTAGGGTCGGATTTGGAGGAAAGTTTGAAGGAGTTTGGGAAAAACCGAGAAGTAATGAGGCTGTGCCGAGAAGGTGAGTTCTTCCCAGCCTGAGCTGCTTGGGACAAGTTCGGGGGCAGAACTTCACCGCATTCACCTGGCCGACCAGCCCGGGCCCCCCCTCCCCCTCCCCGACCCCTGCTAGATCCTGATTGGGGAGCTTGCAAAGGATGGGGGGCTGAGGTGGGGGTGGGGAAGGGGGCGGAGCCAGGGCGATTTAAAACTCTTGTTTCAAAGGTACTTCCTCCAACTTGAGAGCATCCTTCTACCAGACTTGGTAAAGAGAATAATTAGCCCGTGAGGACTGTCGGCTCAGGAAACTTGACGTCTCTCTGCATTTTTATGAAGGCACTTACTTAGGAGCTGGGCAGATTTAAGCCACCCAGGCCCTCCAAAGGAAGAGCTCTTTTTCTGGGGTGTCAGGCATTTACACCAGTCTGGTTGGGGTAAGAGCATCAGTAAACGCATACCTAGAGGTCCTGATTCGCCAAACAGAAGTTAGTCTTGGTGCCTTCTTTTTTTAGAATGATTTCTAAACAAAGTTGATGAAACTAAAAAATCAGAATTGAAACTTGTTGGGTTTATTTGCACAAGTTTGGGTATCATTTGTCATTATTGCGTTACCAAAATCTATTTTTAGTGCCAATCATTAGGTCTGAATCTAGTTTATTATAGCCGTTTGCTGGGTTTTGGTAGTCTGTTTTTGGTCAGAAGGGATCTTTAGCTGAACAGGTGCCATGAATCCGGACGACCCCGGAGGTCAAGTTGAAGGCTCTCCCAGGGAAGTACCCTTCTCTGGATTTGTCTTCCTCCCGGGTAGTCGGTGTCCAGCCGAGAGGGACCTCCAGAGTAAGCCCTCTCCTCAGCTTGTGGAGTGATTCTAAATTCGGGTTCCCTTTGATCTTACCAAGCTATGGAAGGGATGGTGATGGTGAAGGGAAGATGCCCAGGAGGGTTGAGTCCCCAAACTATGTGGTTTCTTTTTCCCAGCACAATTCCAGAGCAGGTGCGTTTTTTTGTTTTCTCACCCTGGAGCCAATTCTTTTGGCTGTGTGCCTTTTTTTTTTTTTAATTCTTATTTTCATTTTTTTTTCTTTTCTTTTTTCCCTCAGGTCCCAGAGCCCTGTGCCCAGGGACATGAAGTGCCATATTGAGTGTATGCCATTTTTAAAGGCCTGTTGTCTCTTACCACTGCCTTGAGCTTTTATTTGTACTGCTGGTCGGGCCTTTCGATTGGCCACTTGTGGAGTTTCTTGGCACACAGTAACTGAGTACTACCCATGGCAATAGAGATTTTCCGATTGGAGTGTATCACAGAACAAATAAATTGATTTTGAAATGAAAATTGCTATTAAAAAAGAGTCGAGGAAGCCCAGCCCTTGTCAAAGATGTTGCAATAGGAAAAATCAGTTGTTAGGCCGGTTTTGGTGCTGAACTGGCAGCCTGCCTCAGCCTTCAGAATATTAAAATCTTGTGGTGACTATTCCCTGGAGATCCTTGAAAATGGGTCGATGTTTAGGAAACGCTGAAGTTGAGGGCTTCTTGTGGCTGTGTGTATACGTTCTTAGGAAGGGTTTTGAATCTTACAGAACCCTGAGTGGGGATCATTAGTGATATGTCTCCTATGCTTTGGGAACCAGTTAGAAAGACTCATTCATTGCTAATGCCTTGTTTTGATTACTGTATTCTTGATCATCTTCCTGCCTTCTGCAGGAGCTGGTTTATGGGTGTCCTACTGTATACTATGCCCAGGGGCTGGTATACAGTAGGCCCTCAATACATGCTTTTCAAATTGAATGGAAGAGCATTCCTCTATAAATTATCTGTAGCTATTTCACTGCAAATTAACTGAAGGCCGGAGGTTTTATACCACCTTTTGTCAGTCATAACTGATTGTGCGTGCTCCTGCCTAAATAGAGTCATGTCTCCATTCCAAAGCCAAATGTTAATGGGTTTTGGATTTTTTTTTTTATTGTTATTTTACTTGTTCTCCTTCATTAATAGAGCATTGAGGGTTGACTGTGTCTTTTCTAGAATGGAATAGAGAAAGCTATCTTATATTTCTTGTCATCCCCAGTACTCTATTATTGGGTCTTCTGTAATTTGCCAGTTCAAGGCTAACTCAGGTTAGTAATAAAGAGGTGCTCAGAAAGAGGCTAAATCCATGTTCTGAATCATCAAAGATCGTTTACGTTCATGTCAGTTTTGTCGAGTGCATTTTAGTTCTTTGAAAACTGATAATCCCATGACATGTATACCTTAACTCGGTTAAGAAGAATATTGGATTAACTAGAACACTCCATTCCCTGACGACAACAGAGTTTTTTTCTTTTTTTTTTTTTTTTTTTTTTTAATTTTCAGGCCTGCATCAGAGTCAGTCAATAAGTATCCATAGGGCATCCTGTCCTATTGCTTATCTCTGTGTTAGCTGCTTGTAGGGATGAAGACATATATAAAACACTAACTGCTTGCTAAGAGTTTGTAATCTAGTTGAGATGAGACTTATCAGTGAAAGGCTAGTGATCAACAGTATATAGTTATTTGTTCAATTGTGTCGCATAGATTGTGGAAGTTCAGAAAAAATGTAAGATATATAAGTCAGCAAGCATTTATTAAGCACCTACTATGTGATAAACATCACGTGAAGCCCTGGAAATAAAAAGAAAAGGGGAAAAAAATCCCTGCTCTCCAGGAGCTCACACTCCCACGAGGGAAACAAACAGGAAAACAACTTGGCACAAACAAATAGAAGAGATATTGGGGTGAATCAGCAGAGAGAAGACACCAGCATTAAGGGGGATCAGGAAAGGATTGTTGTAGCAGCTAGACAAGTCAGGTAAAGTCTCATAGAAGGGGCAGACTTTGATCTGGGATTTTGTGTATCATCTGGATAGGCTAGGAGAAGGGAGAAGGTACCAGGGATTTCCCTGAAGATCATTAAAAACGGCTAAATGTTATTCCCAGAGGCAGTACGTGAACAGAAGGCAGGAGATGATGCCCATTGGGTCCACCAAGAGTTTTGCCAGGGAAAGAGGTTATAACTTCACTTGTACTGGTATCGAAGTTCCATTTTGTTAACTCATTTTAACCCTTTTCTCTGCTCCCCCCTGTACCCTCTACCTTCACACAGATAGTCCAGTGTTAGCTGTAGTAATCCATCATGTTTGCTTGGGTCTGGGGGGGTCATTCTGTTCCTCTTCTTGCCATGTTCAGATTTTTCTCACCTAGCCTCTATTTTGTACTATAATCTTTAATAGTATATGATGGCAGTAATGATTTCTGTAGAAATTATCATAACACTTTTATGTTTTTAAATGAATAAGTTGCAAAGAAAAGATGACTATATTTTCTCTTGGGCTTTTTTAAAAAAAAACTAGGATAATTCATGAAATACTGAATTTTACCCATATTTTCTTTCTATGCAGTTAATAGGAAGAATGTTAATCCTAGAATATTAGAGCCAGAAGGGAGCTTAGACATAATCCAGCTCACTCGTTTTGCATTTGAGGAAGCTCCCAGAGGAGTGAATTAGGAGCCTTAGCTTTACAGGGAAGGAACCTTGGAGATGATCAGGTCCAACAAACTCACTAGCAGTGCTCAAGGCTGCATGTTGACTTAGAAAACCACATGTTAGCATTATCTTTGTTCTATTGTATTTTTATTTGTTTTGCTAAATATTTCCCATTACATTTTAATCATGTTCTTGTGGCCTCACTGGGGAGTGTTAACAGGCTCTCTGATTAGTCCAGCTCCTTAAGAGGGCTCAGAGGTTAAATCATTTGGCTGAGCTCAATCATGTGGAGGAGGAGGGGGACAGGATTTGAACCCAGATTCACCAATTCCAAATCCACGGTTGGTTCTCCGGGTAATAATGTTTATCAGCAGTCTTGTGAGGCCTTGGGTCCAGTGGTTTTCTCAGTCTACCCTGCCTCAGTATCCTTCATGAGCTGTTCAGGTTGCTGTACAGTGAATCTACACAGATCTCTCAGAATGAAAAAGGATGAATGACTCCATTAGCTTAACATTTACTTTTAAACTTTTCCTTGGATTGGGATGTCCAGCTTTTTAACTCCTTTCTCTGTTTTGGCAAGAAGGCTAGAAAGGTCGAGTTGGCCCACTGGAAGGGGAATGGTTTGAATTCCCAGCCCTTTTTCCTTCTGTTTCGAGTCCATCCCCCAGGATGGATCCCACCTTTGTGCCAGTTAAGACCACAGTCTGGAGCTGGAGGACCTCTTCCACCTTTGGGGGCTTCCCTTTGCCTCCCGGGCTTAGTGAGGTCTTGCCTCTGTCCCTGAGCACAGGCTTCCTATGGGATTGAGGCAGAAGGGTAGCAACCAAGTGTGAAATTCACATTTTAATTTGCCTGTCACAAATTAATAGGGACAGAATCAAGCCACAGGCAAAACATAAGTGCCACTTAATGGAACACTCTAGGCAGCAAGTTAGAGCTAAAAAACCAGGGAATCTATAGGTGGGTCGGTAACCTGGAGAAAGAGTGGGGCTGGATGGGGCTGGATGGGGTGATGGCAGGTCAGCTCCTGGAAGGCCTGGGACTTAGCCCCTTTGTTCTAGGGCTCCTGGCACCCCCATCTACACACCTTCTTTGAGGCAGACCTGTTCATGGAGGACCATGGCAAACTCCCTGGTGAGAAGAGCCTCCCTCAGTAGACTGTGAGCTTCTCCAGAACAGGGGCTTTTACCTTTCTCTGTATCCACAGTGCCTGGAACATAGTAGGTGCTTAATAAGTGCTTGACCGACTGAACCCAAGTTGTCCTGACTCTGAGGCTTCTTTCTACTCTCCCTCCTTCCTTCTCTCTCTCCCCCTTTCACCTCTCCTCTTTCCCCCCTCTTCCCACTCTTCTCCCCTTTCTCTCTCTCTCTCTCTCTCTCCCTCTCTCCCTCTCTCCCTCTCTCCCTCCCTCTCCCCCCCTTCCCCTCCCACCCATGTGTTTTGTTTTTAAAGATAAACTGGTTGGCTTTTTTTAAAATAAGTTTATTTCTTTGAGGAGGGTAGCAAGTTGGCTCCTTTTATC